CCTTACTATATCAAAAAATACTATTCGTGTAGCTTGAAAACTTCCATTGGCTAGGCGTTGGTTTGCACTCTTTTCGCGTTTATAAGTTTTGATCCACCATTCTGTCCCAGTAAGGGAGTGTAGAACTCCGAAGAAGTAGTAAGATATTCCAAATACCCAACATTTCGCCAGAACTGACATTCAAATACTGATCTATAGTCGAGTAGGTAGGTATATTATTTGTTAACTATACATCGCATCGAAAGAGATTGTTTGTCCGAGCGCCCTGTGCGGACGTCTTTTTTTTATTGAGGATTAATTGATATCGAATACGATTATGGCAAGTATGAGTAATGAAGAAACTTTTCGCTTCATAGAGCTCTATCAAGCTGAAAACTGTCTATGGAATCCGAAAAATAAAGATCATAAAAATAAAAACAACAAGACATTCTACTTATTTTTTATTTACTCTATTAAGTACAAATACACAGTACTGGTTTGTGGGACAAATAATCTTACTTAGACTATAGTTGTTAAAAGGTGAATTTATATCGAATTTTATTCATTATTCTATCCTCATCATTCCGTAAAAGATGGCCTTATTAATATTGTTCTAAGATCGGAAATAAGTAAACTTCTCAAAAACCATCGCTGGCCTCATTCTAACTGCAGGGCCTATATCGTCGATCTTCAGGTATTGTTATCATTGTTTGCACAACGAAAATGGAAATTGTGTATTGAGTTTCTTCTTATTTTCCGTCAATATCCCTTGGGAGCCTTTTGTAAATTTGAAATTGTGTCTGTTTAATTATTTTCTTTTCAAAATTACATTTTATAAGGTTTTTTTTATAAATATATCTATTTAAAGGTAAAGAAAAATATTATACATTAATTAATTATAATAGGTAGGTACATACCTCTTGTGTTTTTTGAACTTATTAACTAACACGATTTTTGTACAGATATTTGGGTAATAACATACCTAACATTATGTTAACGTGTAGATTGTTATATATATCCGAAGGTAGATTAAATTATGATGTATTAATTCATTATAATAGGTACATATTGATAGGTGTTTGTCAACTTTTTAACTTATACGATTTGGGTTAACACCAAAAACTAGTTCGCAGAAATATTTAAATGTTAAAGTGTTTTATTTAAACATCCAAATATGTTCTACGCTAAATTTCAGATGCACTAAGTTAGTTTTACCATAAGTAGGATGGCAGTTAGTTGTCTAAAGTGGTACAGATTAAATGAAACACTAAACGCACTAAAGGTAGCAGAATATTTTAATCACTATCAGACATCATATTGCTTTGTAACTGAAACGACACGGGCAGTTAGATAAATTATTTATCGGTTTGATATTATCAAACACTCCTATCTACAGAACTACAGCCTGGTTACTAGAAATAATCTTATATCGGTCATGCAATGCGGTGCATGTTCCCGAATATCTGGCTAATTTTACTGAAGTACGGTCAATGCGCCGATTTCATCTGTATCGAAATAACACTCAGTTAATTGAATCTGGCGCCAATTGGTTCTCATGATGTGCAATTCGATCACTTCAATTAAACATTGCGTATACAATTTAAAGACCTAATACACTTGATTGTATTGCTCGTATCATCTTCACTGGCAAACATTGATCGAAGTTGTGTGTAGTTTACGCAAGCACTACACAGTATATAAAACTGAGTAGCTACTTGTAACAGTATTATTTTCACTTTTGTTTTTACATTTATTGTGTTTCTTTACACGTTTGTGTATATATTCGTTCATGAAAACCGTGCAGCGGTTTATTTATGCCACGCATCATTCGTTACCTTATATCTACCTTAATATTTCAAATAAGTACGCGACATTTTAGTTTGTTAGTACCAAACTAACTAAAATGTCGCGCCCGAGAATCATGCAAGAAATACACTGGATATTTCCTTACACATGTCAGGCGCAGATGATAATTTGGGTAATAACATACCTAACATTATGTTCAACGCTGAAATTTAGATTCTTATATAATATCCGAAGGTAGATTAAATTATGATGTATCAATTCATTATAATAGGTACATATTGATAGGTGTTTGTCAACTTTTAAACTAATACGATTTAGGTTAACAACATCCAAATATGTTCTAAGCTAAATTTCAGATACACTTAGTTAGTTTTACCATAAGTAGGATGGAAGTTAGTTGTCTAAAGTGGTACAGATTAAATGAAACACTAAACGCACTAACATATTAGGCAAACTATTTTAATCACTATCAGACATCATATTGCTTTGTAACTGAAACGACACGGGCAGTTAGATAAATTATTTATCGGTTTGATATTATCAAACACTCCTATCTACAGAACTACAGCCTGGTTACTAGAAATAATCTTATATCGGTCATGCAATGCGGTGCATGTTCCCGAATATCTGGCTAATTTTACTGAAGTACGGTCAATGCGCCGATTTCATCTGTATCGAAATAACACTCAGTTAATTGAATCTGGCGCCAATTGGTTCTCATGATGTGCAATTCGATCACTTCAATTAAACATTGCGTATACAATTTAAAGACCTAATACACTTGATTGTATTGCTCGTATCATCTTCACTGGCAAACATTGATCGAAGTTGTGTGTAGTTTACGCAAGCACTACACAGTATATAAAACTGAGTAGCTACTTGTAACAGTATTATTTTCACTTTTGTTTTTACATTTATTGTGTTTCTTTACACGTTTGTGTATATATTCGTTCATGAAAACCGTGCAGCGGTTTATTTATGCCACGCATCATTCGTTACCTTATATCTACCTTAATATTTCAAATAAGTACGCGACATTTTAGTTTGTTAGTACCAAACTAACTAAAATGTCGCGCCCGAGAATCATGCAAGAAATACACTGGATATTTCCTTACACATGTCAGGCGCAGATGATAATTTAGAGTTTGTTGTTGCTTCCATTTTGTTTAAATAATCATGCAAAATGTACTCCCATACACGTTATTGCACATGACAGTGTTATGTATTGTAAATATCGTTTAGATTGAAAAATTTTGATAAAGGAGAGGTATCTATAGTGTAGCTCAATTGAAAGGCCAACAATACGCAACGTTGTGGTTCGTGTCCAATTTTAATAAGTTCACGAACAATGTAAACACAAGATAGCCATAAATCGTTGAGGAGTTTCTTCAACTGTCTCTCGGTTCCATCTTCAGATCTACTTAATTCCTTAAATTGTAGTGCTTAAAACTACTAAATAAAAAACTTAAACGCACTACTGCTCCTTACAATTTCTTCAAACTTCCATTCGATTTTTCTAGTCTGAGATCCTTTCAATTTCCTTCAAAGTTAGTTGAGTTTTTAGTTTATTGCCAAATAATTTAATGCTAAACGAATTTTAAATCGATAGCTACACAAGTAAGTATAAATTAACTTAAATATATTCATTGTTTAAAGTCAAGTTTTATATAAAAAAATAATTTATTAAAAGGTAAAACTATATATAAATGTTATAAATACACAGTAACATATTACAATATGTATACACAACACCTATTTTAACACAATTTAAAATGTTATATTCAAATTGCTTTGACCGAAGACCTCATTATTTTATTATAATTAAAAGTTAAGCTGAAAACAGTAAATTAATTAATGTCGTGGACCTTTGTTGCACCTATAATACAATTCTCATAGGGGCTTAGCGACAAAATAAATTTTGGATTATGAAGGGCCACTAAGACCATTTTCGACCCTTTCTATAACATTATTCATACGCCACCCTGAATAAACACACCCGGTACTTAGAATCTTTGCCTTAGGTTCTTTAGAGAAGAAAAATATTGCCTTTGCTTTCGTAAAGCGTTGTATTCGTAATTAAGGGGATTTTCTTTTGATTCCTTTCGACGTTGCAAGTCGTACTCTAACGAAATCAAGATATCGTTTCTTTAACGATTTCAACCAATTATTTTCAAGGACTCCCGTCTCCATCGTACCATCGGAAGCCTTAGAATTAATAAGAAATAACGGTACCGAATACTATTTTATCGAACTACAATTATTTTTATTAAAGCACACCCATAAAAGATACAAATAGAATAATTACTGTGCAAATATAAAAACCTGTTATTGTTTAGTAGATATATTATATTAAATCTTGTTTTAAATAATTTTGAAACGCGAAAAGCATTAGTTATTTACTTTTATTTTTAATACTATTTCGTAGCTGTAATCACGGGGAGTCTTTGAAACGTCGGGTCGTATAGTTTAACTAATATATTTCTCATTTTAAATAGTGAATAGTGCTTTATTTAATACGTAACACTAAAATTAACTCTTCAATTCCCAGTGTCCCCTGTAGGTGACCGTTTTTTTATTTTTTTTTCCCACCAAATTTTTTTTTTTTTTTTTCCCCCCCCCCCCTCTCACAAAAAATTAACCACCCCCAACAATATTTTTTTTTCCCCCCCCCCCCCCCCCTTTTTCTTTTTCCCCCCCCTCCCTCCCTTCCCCCCCGCAACGGGGCAGCCCCGTTTTTTTTTTTCCCCCCCCACCAAAAATGAATTTCCCCCCCCCCCCCCCCAAATTTTTTTTTTTTTCTTTTTTCCAAACAAAAAATAAATAAACAATTTAACTCTCTTTTTTTTTTAAAAAAAACCCCCCACTTTTTTTTTTTCCCCCCCCCCCTAGGAGTGCCCCCCGGCCCCCCCCCCCGCCCCTCCCCTTTCCTTCTCCCTTCTTTTTTCTTCTTCTAACAACACCCCCGGTTTTTTTTTTTTTTTTTTCTCCCCCCGGGCGGGGGGGTTGGGGGGTTGGTTTTCCCTTTCCCCCTTCCCCCTGTCGGGGGGGAGGGTGGGGTTAATATTTAGTATATTTTGTCTGAATATAGACCCAATTGTGTTAAGCTTATTCAAAGTTGGTATGTATTATTTTTACGTATGCAAGTATCTAAGAATGTATGTGATTGTGTGATAGTATAGTGTTGTTAGTATAAAGTGACCCCTCAAAGGACTTACGTGTTCCATCGAAGCGTGTGGCGATGGTATCGAGGAATGTGTTCTGGGGCGCGAGCAGCCCCTTGCGAACCGGCATCACCCCTTACCGGCTGCGCTGCCCCTCCACCTGAAAAATGGTAATTTATACTTCTATTAAGACATTTAAAAACCAATATTTATTGATAATTATATTTAAATAGCGCTCTTCACAATATCTATCTCAAGTGTACATGAATTCATGATCATGTTTGTAAGAGATATATGAGATGATGTTATAAGTCTCTCTTTCGAAGAGATCGTTGGACGAACGGTAGTAACGTATGGCAATAATTAATGAGTCGTGGTTTCGGACCCATCATGTTTCTATTCAATAATTTATAATTTTTCTGAACCATGTTGGACTTTATGAGGAAATCTGGATATTACATAGGTAGTAGGAATTTCGATTCCATCCCCATCACCACCCACCGTCCATAGAAGAAAAAGCCACTAAACAAAAAATAAGTCGACTGTCTTGTGGAAGTGTTAAATGGCCATACTATGTCTACAAACTAAACTACTAAAACTGAATTGAATGTATTTTATTTTAGATTGCCGTTCATGTTCCAACAAAGGATTCGGATATATAATCAGCCGCGCGAGCGCTGACCGTAATTTTTCTCATTACACATGACACGAAGACACACTGACCACCGGACTAGCATGCGCGCTTCGACATATCTTTCTTCCCGTGTAGACAAATGTAGTGTAAGTATAAATATGTTCTTTAGTTTAATAAGTTAAACTGACTAGTTATTCAAAAAGTTGTTCGTATACAAATCTACTTCTTTTGACAATAGGAGATTCAGTACTTTCTTGTATGGTATGACGATATAAAACTGACGGAACAGATAGCACTAGTGTAGCAGTTTTTGACTTTGATGTCTGATACACCCTCCATCAAACATCTGTCAAGTTCCGGGCCGTAGTTAAAATAATGTTCAAATAAGTTTAACTAATATATATCGCGCTTTGAAACGTTTTTTGTGTGTTTTTTTGAAAACTGCTTCAATGGGAGATGATAAACATAGTTATTTCGCGAGTCGAGCATACTAGGCCAGATGAGTATGAAACTTGAAATAAAGATAGGAAATATAGTACGAGAGGACTGTACGATCTCTAGTGGAGTTCTTTGTTTCAACAGACTTAGGATAAACAATATAGATTTTCCACAACGAGGACGTGCAGTTTCTAACTTGTATTTTCTTTCTCTAAGTCTTTGGATACAGTGAAGTTTCGGGCTTTGGATTATTCGAATACAGTTTAGGATTTTTTCGTACGAAATAAAAAAAGCATAACACAACAAACATATAATTGTGTATATATACATATTTATAGATATAATATCATAAAGCTTCATAGAAATTTAGATATAATTATAGATAATAAGAATATCATACTAAGTCTACTGCTTAAGCCAATTTTTTCAAAACGCGAATCAAGGTTATAAATATTAATTATGTATTTAATATTTTTTTGTCATTAATATACTAATGACCCTTAAAATATAAATCTATTTAACACCTAAAGCAACCTAAAGCATTTAGGAACATTGTAAAATCTGGGAAGACCCCCCTTTCCCCTTCCCTTATCAATGAAGTTCTAAAATAAAACTACACATTCCATTCTATACATTTCCCGTTATAAGTTATTGTTCAGGATGTCTGAATTGTACACATCGTCAACAACATGCATCACACATTACCCAAATCTTAGCACATTGTCACGGATAATAAACCGCTGTCGATTCTAAAACAGTCATTACTTTTGTTACGGAACCATCTTCAGTTTATTGCATTTTTTAATTGATACGTAAACTCTCACAATGTCCAAACATTGTATAAAACAGTTGAATGTTTGTATATTAAGGATTAGAATTTGTGTGTACATTTTAAATAAATATTAACAACATAGCATAGAATAGAATAAGTTTTTTTTTTTTTATATTATTTAAACAAATGCATCCTTTTTGAATAAAGCCTAGAAATTTTAATAGATGTTTATTTTTTACTAGCTGTGCCAACGACTTCACCCGCGTGTAATAATTATTTGGGGCATCAAAATTTGGTATTGCAAACCTTTTCCTCATCGCGCACCGTCGTTCTAGCAAATTAATCTTAAAAGATAGACATATTATAGTGTCCCAGACATTTAATTAGAATGTTAAAAGAGAAATTATTCTTTCATATATATTTTTTGGGTATCTTGAAACCATAATGATAAATAATTTGCCAAATTTTTTTCACATTTCTCGCTGTATATTCGCTTGTATTAGTCACAGAAGATGTTTTAGCCTATAGTCTACCTCGATAAATGCTCTAACCAATATTTTTTCAACTCCAACCCGTAGCAGAAGAGAGTTTTTTTATAATACAGTTTGATCTATTTTATATAGCTTTATGTATACGTTTAATCTATTTATCCACTTCAGATTTACATGTACACAAATACGTTATGATATATATAGTATAATATAATATGAATAACTCTGTTGTGATACGTAAGCTTCAAAATGTAGCGTTATATTATTACAGATCGTAAGCTCCCTTATATTTTTGCAACATAAGTCGGCATCATATTTGAAGGGAGCTTACAGGAACATGATTAAATAAAACAGCTGTTTATAAAGAATGGTTAATGTAATGCCGAAAGAAGAATTATTGGGCTCCGAGCGCTCCGCATCATGTAGAACGCATTTGATTCTGTTATGACATAAATATGAAGCTATAACTGGCCTTGTTTATGTTAATATAATACTTGATGATTTTTATGAGATTTTGGTAGACTTTATTTAGTTGTTTTTTCTGTAATTAAAAAGAAGAACAATAAATACCGCGTAAAACTATTTCAGTTAGTTGCTAAACTTTATTTTACTTTGTTCTTAAGTTGTGAAGTTCTACAGATGATTAAGAAATTTAGACAAGACAATCAGGTGATTCTCGTTTCATTAAATTTACAGCGCAATAGCATTGAGTAAGGTGATTATAATTTTCTTATGAATATTTACAGTTTCAGCTACAAATTTAGCAATTAATGTTGTCGGGATCTAGCATCAGGATTTTCATTAGCCATCGCTATAAATCACCCTGTATAATTAAAGCTCTATTTAAGGTGACCCATAAACTGAGCGAGGCTAGAATATTCCTGCAGCCTTTCTACCTTCTCGTAAACTTTTATGTTTCATAAATGCGCGGGTAATAAATATGAATTAATGGGTTTTCGAGGCTACTCCCTTTTGTAAGCGTTATATGTTCGCAATGAGATGGGGTGTTTACCGCTCGGGTGCACAGCTATAAAAGTGCATTTTAATCTGCCGAGGGAAATAGCGCGTGCAACACTTATTGGAAATAGGCAGATAATTAAAATAAAGTAGAACAGACAACAGAGCCATGCCACAACCATAGACATAAAACCACAGAGTATATTATTAAGCTATAGAAAATGCGGGTCTGGTCTGTAGTTAATATTTGGCGGGCTTGTTAGTAGCATGTCGATATCCAAGTTGTGTGTTCCAATTCTACACGTGTAATTTATGATTTTTTAAATATAATACATATATGCTAGACATAGACTTTAAATGATTGATAAAAATCCCGGCCTTTCATATGGTTCAAGCCTCCGTCCTCAATAGGAAAGTTCTGAAGAGTTTATCTACATTTTGTCTAAGCAAAAAAGTGTCTTTACCTTGTCTATTAATTGTTTTTTATTTGTTGTACTTTGAAAAGAGTTTAATTAAATTGAAACGTGTCTCATTTCAATGGTTAATGTAGTTAGATGGTGAGAATTATTAAAACCTTAATATTAAAAGCTTGAATTTAGTTTAGAACCGACAAAAAAATAAATAGAAGAAGAAGTGGTGCGAAAATGGTTTTAATAAAAGTTTTAAAGGAGATCCTTCAACAATGTCACAAAGAGCTTATTTCAAGTGAATGTTAGGTTTTAATTAAAAACGTAATAGTTTCGTACATTATTTTTCTGACTTTTTACATATTTTAAAAATGTTGCCTCTGGTTTCCCAATGTTAATATACTTATATTTACTATACATACTTGTGTTGTATTTAAGTTCAAACATGTGTTAAAAAGGTAAAATTAAAGTCGTCCGAATAACAATAATGCACGCCTTTTATATCTAAGTTGTTTTTTATTACTATAAGTTAAAGTTTTAGTTATACATAGTTTAGTTTTAATATGATTTCAAAAAGCCGTTACGCTAGTCTAGCGGTCTAGTGCTGATCACGAGATCCCGGGGTCGAATCCTAGGACAGAGAAAAATTGCTTCGGTAATTTAAATTTAAAACGCGATATATTTTGGTTAAACTTGTTTGAAAATTATTTTACCTACGGCCCGACGTTACAAATGTCTTATGGCAGTCGTGGTCACGGGGACCCGATTAAATAATTTTCAAACAAGTTTTATTAATATATATCGCATTTTAAACCGTTAAACTGTTTTATTTAAATGTGTATTACACCCGTAAAATACGGACAGTATTTATTTGGATTCTTTTAAGAAAATTTCTATTACTAGTTTCAACCGCACTGAAGCAGCGTGGTGGGTTTGAACTCTTAAGTCCTCACTTTATACATAGGTGTACCTACATGTAAAACGCACTAATAAAAATCATTATGCGAGTTTTAATAACGTTTAACTAATAGCTATAAAATAGCTTTTGAGACTCGTTGACACATTTTAATTGACAGTAAAAACAAAATTGACATTGTAAAATTGTAATCAAAAACAAATTATGTTCTCACTATATCTGCATGCAGTGAAATTGTTATGCACGAATAATATTGTATAATATTCTAAAACGACATATAAATTATACCCCAAAAACGGAGTAAGGCTTTCGGTATAAACCATTTAACGAAATGACAAATTTACGCTATCTCCGCACTCGTAAAGTAAGCTGGGTGTTAATTTCAGACTCGAAATAATTTACGAAAATTGTGACTGTTAAGTGCCGAGGGCTTAATAATGTGATTCAAAAATTAATAATCATAAGCTATTATTAAAAACCTGATATGCATTTTAAGTGCCTTATTGGTAAAACTT